CCACCCATCCCACCCATCCAACCATCAATTCATGCACCCCTCCATCCACCCATCCCACCCATCCAACCATCAATTCATGCACCCCTCCACCCACCCATCCAACCATCAATTCATGCATCCCTCCATCCACCCATCCCACCCATCCAACCATCAATTCATGCATCCATCCCTCCATCTACCCACCCATCCATCCATCCATCATCCATACATGCATCCACTTACCTATACAGCCATCCACCCACCTCCCCACCCACTAATTCATCCATTCACCCACCATCATCTATCCATTCATTCATTCATCTGATGATAATAACCACATCCTGCACGAAAATCTCCACATCTACAAGAGAAAGTCAAACTTTTGGCCTGGTGTTCAAGGCCTATTCTGTGTTGGTCCCTGCTTGCTTCTCCAGTCTCATTTTCCCACCTTGTGCTTCCATTTGCAGCCCTCATGGAACCAGCCCTCTTGCTTTTGCTCTTCTCAGCTCTGGCATGTCCTTCAAGGCTCTGCTCTGATGGCACCTCTTCCAGGAAGCTTCTATTCCTTCCCCCAGCCTCCCAGGCTCATGCTGTCCTACGTGTGGCCCCTGAACCCCTCATGTGGACCCAGCTGTCATAGCCAGAGCCATATCTGGCTCCTTTTTGCCCCTGTGCCCAGCCTAGCACCTGGCACAGAGAAAGGGTGGGTGAAAAAGAATGTTCACAATGAAGAAGTGAGTGACCAGTGGCCTGGGGCAGAGATTCTTCAACTCCTCTTTGCCTGGAAAGGCAAGTCTATCCTGTGCCTGAGGAGCCTCTCAGGCTCTGCTTCCCTAGCTGCGGCCCCCAGGGCTGGGGAGCCAGACCCGGAGAGGCGTTCCACTTGGCTGGCTGCTCTATCTCAGGCCATCTTGCCGCCATGGCGGCCACTCCTCCCAACCGGGTATCTGGGCCCTCATCTCCCTGCAGGTGGGGCCAGGCTCGCCCTGACTTCTTCCCCAGTATAGCCCTCTCTGAATTTCCTTCACTAGCACCCCCAAGTGCCATCCCACCTTTATGGGGAGCTGACTGCTTTTCAAGAGCCCCTGACTCACAGTTTCCACACCAGCTCAGGTTGCTCCTGCCTCCCGGGGGAGCCCCTGCCTGAGCCTTTCAAGGCTCTCTGAGCCAAAGGCCACCTCCTCTGGGAAGTCTTTCCTCATATGCTGCCAGGGCCCCTGGGACCAGGAACACCAAGGGCAGGGACATAAGGCTGTGGCCTGGGCCCCACCTCCTCACAATCAGGTCCTCAGCCAGGCTCAGCCCACACGCTGGATGGAAACAGGGTCCCTGTCCAGCCCCGCTGCCCCAGCTTGGGTTGGGGGCCCATCACACCACCACTCAGGGCCTCAGTTTCCACCCTTCTGGAACGGGTACAGTGCAGCTGTCTCAGAGCGCTGTTGGGAGGCTTAAAGTGAAGGACGCAGAGGGCCCAATGGGGCCCAACACACCCAGCACACACCTGTGGGGACACAGATAACTGGCTGTCTCCACTAGAAGAGGCACCCGAGGCTCAGTGAGGCTGGAGACCCTGGGGTGACACAGCGGTCACACCTGCCACCGTCACTGGCCCGCACCCCGCGGCCGCCTACCTTCCTGCCGGCCTCGTTGTTGTGCAGGTTCATGAGGCGCCGCGCATTCTTCTTGATCTCCCGGGCATCCACGAAGCGCCGGGAGAAGTCGATGCCATAGCGCACGTCGGCAGAGCAGCCACCCCACTTCCAGCCCTCGGCCTGGTTGTAGTAGCCCTGCTTCTCGCGGTCACAGCCACAGTTGCTTAGGTTGCCCTGGCTGCAGGCGGCGGTGACAGCATGGGCCACGCCAGCCGCAGTGATGGCATAGGTGAAGGCGGCCTCACGGCTCCCTGCGGGAGAGATGGCGTGCGCAGTGAGACTTGGCAGCTCGGCGCTAGCTGGGCTCAGAGGACCGAGTGCTAGGCCTCCATCTGCCTGCTGCTGCCTGGCTGTGTGACCCTGAGCTTGTCACTTCCCTCTCTGGGCTTCTGATTCACTGAAGAAGGCATGAAAGTGGCCCCTTGTAGGGATGTGGTGAGGGCAGTGGTATATGGTAGGCACTCAGTGCCCACTGGGAGCAGCACATAACTGCTGTGTTCAACTTCTCTCCCTGTTCCCAAGAGAGGGAGTGGCCCAGTTTCTCCAGTCCTGGGGATGAGTAGCAAGGGCCCTCCTGGGGAGGCACAGGAGCTCTGTGCCTCTGTCCCTGTCCCCTCTGGCAGCCTCCTGGACGCTGCTCCTCAGGAACAAGCCATTTGTGCTGACCCCAGTGGGAATCATGTGTGTGTGGAAGATGGAAGCCGGGGCCACAGAAAGCACAGGAACACCCCCTCCCCATCCACCAGCCAAGAGCCCAGGCAGACACCATGCAATAAAGGCCACCCAGCTCTTTGCTGCTACCTCATCTTTGACCACTGACCTTCAACCCCTTACCAGGCCCTGGTCCCTGGGGCTCCCCTCTCCTCCCAACACCCCTGCCTGGCTCAGGGGCCCCTGAACTGCCTGGACCTGGGTGCCAGTTCTCCCTGCCCCCTCATTCCCCCACCCCCCTGCTAATAGCTGGAGCCTCCCAAGTGCAGTCTGGGCAGCGCCCTCTCTCCCACCTGCAAAGCCAAGCCTAAGGTTGAACTAGGAAAGGAAGGCGCCAGGTCAAAGCCTGCTGGCCTCCCTCCATCCAGAACAATGACTCCGTCTTTCCGGGTACTGCTCACATCCCCTGGGGGTTATGTGGTCTCCTTAGCAAAGTTCCCTTTCCCTTCACGCCTAAATGCTAAGGACTTACCCAAGGCCTGGTTCCAAGGCCACCTCCTCCGGGCAGCCTTTTGTCCATCCAGAAGGGAGGCTTTGCTTCCTGACCCTCATCCCAAGTTGTGACCCAGATGTAGATGCTCCCAGCCCTAGTCAGCCCTGCAGATGGGGCTTCCACACAGGTCCCAAGCTCCTTAGAGAGGCAGGTCTGCTCAGCCCTGCAGATGGGGCTTCCACACGGG